ATCTATTGCTTTTTTTTTTTTAAATCCAAGAAGCTAATTCTAAGGCTTTAACGGGGAGCTAGGTTTTGTGTTATTTAGAAGATGTGTAAAGAAAACGTTCTTCAACTCCTTTCTAGGCACTGATTATCAAACCAGACAAGAATGAGAAAGCATGAGTTTCTACAGTCCATCATTCTTCACCTTCCCTTTCTTTCCATCTCCACTTGCAGCAGTATCTGCAGTTGCATTTAAAAATGAGGAGCTATCCAGCTGCCTTACTCAAAGGTATTTGCAAAGTCTCAGAAGCATAAAACAACAGTTTTGAAAGTGAATTAACAATGATTTTGTTTTTTGAGAATGAGAATTGAATTCCAGGAGTAAATCTGGAAGACAAGCCAGCTTTCCTCATGAAGAGCTTTAAATGTCAAGAAAAAATATTTAAGCACTGTAAGCAAAGTTTGCTGGTAAATGAATTTAGGATAGACTGTAGCTGAATTTGCATTTCAATACCATTCCAGTAGGGCACAGAGTTGAGAGTTGAGTGCAAAGATCATAAGGAAGGTCAGGGTATTACCATACTGGTATAAGCAGAGAAAGTATGCATCTTTAATAGGGCAGGGCAATGGAGTTCGACCCCTTCATTCATTCAACAAATCTTTATGTGGGGACGTATGGCATGCCTCTGGGCTCTGGGGACACTGAGTGCCTATCTGAGGATTCAGCCACTGAATGGTTGCTAGATTGCATTGACCCATGTGTCATGAGTATGAGGCTCTTTAAAAATGTAATCTCATGTGGGATTACATGGAAGATTCCAAGGAACCACTGTTTCTCTACATGTAGAAATAGCATTCTGTAAAACAGTATATGGTACATGGGAGAAGAAATTAGGTCTAAGTTTTTAAGTTAAATGCAACAACCTTATCTGTTGACTGATTGGGGGAAATTGGTGGAACTTTCCTTCCTCAATCTGAAGATCCTAGTGTGGGGATTTAAAGCAAGTAATTTTTCTGGGAGGCTGAGGCCAGAGGATTGCTTGAACTCAGGAGTTTGAGACCAGCCTGGTCAACATAGAGAGACCTCATTTCTACAAAAAATTTAAAAGTAAAACTTATTTGTGCATAATGGCATGTGTCTGTGCTCTCAGCTGTGGTGGGAGAGTGGCTGAGGTGGGAGGGTTGCTTAAACCCAGCAGGTCTAAGTTGCAGTGAGCTGTAATCATGCCATTGCACTCCAGCCTGGGAAACAGAGCAGGACACTGTCTCAAAACAAACAAAACGAACAAACAGAAAAGATCAAGGGGATAAGGAACAAAGTATTTGGAAGGAAAATAATAAAGTGAATTGAGATATTTTTTATGAACATATTCCGGGTCTTGACCAAACTATTTAGCTGTGAGTTCATATTTATTAATCACTGTTGTTTTTGTTGTTGTAGTGAGTTACCAATTATTATTTATTTATTTATTGAGAGGGAGTCTCGCTGTGTTGCCCAGGCTGGAGTGCTTGTGCGCGATCTTGGCTCACTGCAACCTCTGCCTCTTAGGTTCAAGCAGTTCTCCTGCCTCAGCCTTCCGAGTAGCTGGTATTACAGGTGCATGTCACCCATAAGAGGTCAAGAGATCGAGACTATCCTGGCCAACATGGTGAAACCCCTTCTGTATTAAAACTACAAAGATAAGCTGGGCGTGGTGGCACACACCAGTAGTCCCAGCTGTTCGGGAGGCTGAGGCAGGAGCATCACCTGAACTCAGAAGGCAGAGGTTGCAGTGAGTTGTGCCACTGCACTCCAGCCTGGGTGACAGAGCGAGACAAACAAACAAACAAAAACCCTAAAAAACAAAACAAAACAGGAGGATTCACCTGAGGTTGGGAGTTTGAGACCACTCTGACCCACATGGAGAAACCCGTCTATACTAAAAATACAAAATTAGCCAGGTGTGGTGGCCCATGCCTGTAATCCCAGCTACTCGGGAGGCTGAGGCAGGAGAATCTCTTGAACCCAGGAGTCAGAGGTTGCAGTGAGCCAAGATCATGCCATTGCACTCCAGCCTGGGCAACAAGAGCGAAACTCTGTCTCAAAAAATAAATACATAAAAATAAAAATAAAAATAAAATATAAAGGCAGGTAGAAGGGACATGCAAGTGGCTTCTAATATACTGTCAATATATATTTTTCCTAGATCTGGTGGTTTGTTTCTTATGCTTCAAACTTTATGTATACATTTTTATACTTTTTGGCATATATGGCATGTGTCACAATAAAAATATTTAAACATTTTAAAAGATGGGTTGGTGCCAGCTTGTAAACATCATATCTATCAAGATAAGGACTTTATTCTGCAGGCAAGAAGAAAGCAAAATAGACTTTAAGAGCATCCTCAGCTCAGCATTTTAGGAAGATTGAGTCTGGCCGCACTGCAAGGTAGGCAGAAGTCAGGGGAAGCCACAGACAGAGGCCCCCTGAGTATAGACACTAATGAGGAAGGCCTTGTCCAGCCAGCCAGGTGTGGGGAGGGCTCAGGAAAGGAATCAGAGACCTGGGTGAGGTGGAAAAGACAAGCCTTGATGATTCACTGAAAGTAATAAGCAAGGGAAATTTAGGATCATACTAACATTTATGGATAAGGAAATTCCATTAACCCTTGCTGAACAGTAAAAATGGTTTGAAAAGGAATCTATCAATTTTCTGAAACTGCAATAATATCAGTGTTGTTATTGGCTGTAACATAGTCCAATCTCTCTTGTTTTTTTCCTAATTGTATAGGAGTTTCTACAGTTTTAGTTGGCTTCTCTGTCACTTCTCAAGCCTGTTAGTTACACACTATATATGACTAATATCTGTGGCATCCTCATATTATCAAGCAATTATCACACTTTCTGTACACAAAGGCCTTTTTTTTTTTTTCTGGGTCTTTAGCATGTCTCTGTGGGGTAAATTTTTTTTCTCTTAAATATATAATACAGACAGGGTCTCACTGTGTTACCCAGGCTGGTCTAAAAAAATTTCCCCAAATTATAATTTTTAATCTGCTCTGTCAACTAAAACATTTGAAGATGAACAGCCAAGTACTCTGTTTTCCTTTAAAAATGTAGTCATCAAGCTGGGTGCAGTGGCTCATGTATGTAATCCCGTGTAGAAAGCCAGAGTAGCTCACCCACTCTGGAGGGATCAGCAGCAAGGCTGCTGCGAACTTTGGGTGAACTCCAGAGTGGCGAAACCGTAATAGGAGAATGTGTGTGTCTCGGAGAAGAGCAGAGAGGCCTAGAGAGAGATAACCAGCTCTCACTGACCTTGCTGCGAGACAGTTGTTAGCTGAAGTATGTTAACTGAAGTATGAGAATTACAACCACAGGCTGTTCTAAGAAACTGCACCCTCCCCCTGCTATGTGCTTTGTAAACATATAAAATAAAGTACCTGAGGCAGGTCGGGGCCAGAGAGACTGACGTCCTCACTTTCCTGGACTGCCTAGCCGAGCTTTCTATATGTCTGTCTCTGTGCTTTTCTTTATTCCCCACCATTCCCTCTTAGGTCTTTGAACACTTGGGCAGCCCGGGATGCAGCTTGCACCAGAATCCAGCATTTTGGGAGAATGAGGCCAGAGGATCGTTTGAGCCTAGGAGTTTGAGAGTAGCCTGGGCAACCTGTCTCTACAAATAATAATAACTAGCCAGACATGGTGGAGTGCACCTGTGATCCCAGCTACTCAGGAGGCTGAGGCAGCAAGATTGCCTGAGCCCCGGAGGTTGAGGCTGTAGTGAGCCGTGATCATGCCATCGGGCTCTATCTAGCCCAGGGGACAGAGCAAGACCCTGTCTCAAAACAAAACAAAAATATGTAGTCATCAGTTTACATATGTTTCACCCAGTTTATAAGAATTTTGGCCTAATTGCGTTGCTTCTTCATGTTCCATTGAGATTTGTAATTCAGTCCCAACATCTACTTCTCTAGTTCCTAACAAACCTAAAATGCCCTCCTCAGTTTGTAATTTGAAATGTATGTCTTTAATTTTGGTTTCAACTAGTAGGAATGGCAGAATTTTAATCTTAATAATTCTGACTTCAGTTTTCTGCTTAAAAGTGTTGAATCTGACTCCTAGGACTTCCACATGCTCTATCTCCATGTCATTGATAGAAACAATTTTTGCCCATCCTCATAAACATCCTCTCATGAGGTCAGACATCAGAAGGATGAAAAACTCCACCAAAACAGAAGGACACAGTACTCAGGGCACTGCCAGTTCCTGTTTTAACAGTGCTCCTTGCAGAGGTTATTGCATATGGCTCCTCGCACCATCCCCCCATCTCCCTTCTGGCAACAGACTCATGCCTCTGACCATAAGATTGAGAAACGGCCCAAGTGTGACCATGAGACCTTTAGATTTCATACACTGAAGTTAGGAGAGAGATCCACCCTTCCCTTTCCTCAGGACTGCCAGAGCCCATGTCACTTGACATTTTCTGTGACTGAAAGAATGAAGCGTCCAAGACAAGTGGAGGTGAGAGGTGAGGAGTATTCTGAGAGACAGGAGTTCCAGGTGCTAGTCCCCAAAGTTTCTTGAGTAACCTGATCCCACCAGAACTTCCTCTGAGATGATGAGCTATTCTTCCATGTTTCCCATAAATTCATTCTTTTGTTGTTGCTTAAGATGGTTTGGATAAGGTTTTCTTTCCTATAACCAAAAGAATCCTAAATAATGCAGAAGTGAAAAGATCCCAGTCATGAAACTCCCAGAGGGCAAAGAGTTTTTATCAAAACTCAGGCCTCATAGGTGAAGAAAAAGCTTTGTTACTATTAGAAAATCCTGCCAGGGACCACAAATAACAGCAAGTGGGTGGGATGGACCTAGGGAGTCTTCAAGGTGAGGACAAAGTTTTTCATTATCAGTCTCCAAGAGCCAAAGATTCATTCACTTTCACACACCCAACTGTGTCTTCTCTCCTGTGAAAACCCAGGTTCTTAGACTCCTAATCCATATTTGAACAATGGTTAGTAAAAGGCCAACTCTCTTCAGTCTTACGTAGTAGTTAAACAACAGTGTGTGTGTGGCTATGAAGTCTCGAACAACAGGCTAGGCTTGAACTTTCAGAAGTTAGCCTTGTCACCACTGCCAAGGTCAGCCTAGCCATCCCTACCCAGTTTCCTCTCTGTTTGATATTGGATTCACTTTGGTTACTGGTATTTGCACTGGTTAAACTTGGATTGGTTGCAATAGTGCACATCAAAGCCAACAAGGAAGACAGCTGAAGAAGCAGAGAATTCCTGAAGGAAGAATGACAAAGAAGATGAAAATGACTACAACACTTGATATTTATTTAAAAATTACATTTCAAACAGGTTTAACAAATGAGAATGTTGTTTAGGAGCCTAAAGTACGGCTTATGCTGGTGGTAGGAGATCAGGAAAAAAAATAAAAAGTAAAAAATAAAAAATTAAGTGCAGGTTACTCTATTGATCTCATTTCTTTATCCCAGTCCTTGCCCGACTACAATTTATTTTACAAATCCGCTTACTTCCAAGATGTGGTTCTAACAGAATTTATAAGAGAAATCAATTCTTTGCCTTCTATGAAGGCAGAATTCTAATGTAGAGTAAGAACAGCTGTGATGAGCAAATGAGAAGCCAATGTATCAAATACATGCCTAGAAACTAACAGTGCTCAAGGGAAACAGTTGAAATTGATAGATATGATGGTCCTAGATTCAGGACCTACCCCAACTTCTACTCTAAAAGCCCCAAGAACACTTACCAGATGAGAGAAATAGTGTGGCACTGCATAAAAGGATGAAAGACAGGCAGAGAAGGGTGATTTTCACTTTCTTTTGCAACTTATTTACTTTCAAAGTATGCAGAGTGCAGCAGTAATGCAAAGCACACACAGATAACTGTTACTCAAAAAAAAAGGAAAAAAGGCGATGACTCATCACCTAGCTTAGTCTACTGCCTAAGGGTAATTCCCAGAACCTTAAGTTGTCATTTTAGCTTCTCCTACTCTAGTTTCTTTCCCCCCCACCCCCCCCCGGATCCTCCTTTTCCTTAGCTGTCCCTGAGCAGTTTCCAAGACACTATGTCTAATGAAATGCCACCGTGCCCAGAACCAGGACTATTGATGGAACCCCCTTCCTCCTATTCCTTACTGATAAGGATAAAGGTGATTGCACAGATAAGGTGCATTTCCAGGTATCATGAAAGAAACAGGGAAGGCCAGGAGTATGAAGCTCAGGAAGGAGAGAAGAAGGGCGCTAATCATGAAAACTTGACCAAATATGAAGTAGTCTAAATTAGGGAAGAAGAGAGAAGAAAGGCTAACAGCTCTACACCTCCCTCCTGAGTCTGAGTGCCCAGAGAGCTAAAAGATGCAGTTTAAGGGCTTTAAGGCAGGAACGAAGGGCAGCTCAGGGGAAGCTTAGGAGTAGAGGCAGAAGAATGCTGCGAAAATAACTAGAATAATGAGTCTACCTGAGCTGGTATCCCTAGAGGGCCCCTGGATACGATATGCTTTGAAATGAGCCACTACTACTAGTAGGAATGTTTCCTTCAGGTATACTAGGGCAGAAAAAGACACTGACAATTTCTGGAAGGGACTGGATTGGAGCTGGACCCTCACTTGATTTAGATAGAAGAATCCAACATGTGACCTCACCACTGCAGATTACAAAGAGAGCACTGAGCAGAGTAGGGAACTGCCTGAGATGTCTGTCTTCACTCAGGTCAAGAGGTTGAAAGCCAACCACAGAATGGCAGAACCAGTGAGAGTGCAGGTGAGGGTTAGAATGTCACAGAGTCTAATTATTCCAGGCTTCACACAAACAAGCACTGGGTAAAAAAAATAAAAGGGGTCAAATGACTTAGATTTTCTCAGTCCCTTTGGGATTTCTTCCATTCTTAAACACCCACCAACGCCAGTCTCCTTGTCTTGACTCCTACTTAGTTTCCAGGACTTTCCCTCCTTCTCATACCCCAACCAAATCCTCTTGGGGTCACAGACTGACCCTGTGTCCCTCACCAGTAAGAACTGAGATCTTTCTCTTTGATCTTCTTATTTGAATCACTTACTTGAACACAATCATACACAGCCTTGTATTGCTACTAAGCTTTTCCTGGGCATATATCTTGTCTCTCCATCTAGATTAAAAGTCCCTACAGGACAATCAGCCTGAATTCTTAATTTCCCACCACATTTGTCACAGTGCTTTACATGTAGCAGGATCAAAATGAGTATCTGTTAACAGCAAGGAAAAATAATAAGCCACACCACATGTCAAATACATTCCTTGGTGATGTCAAGAGAAGTAAAAATTTTTTCTGATGTTCTGTAGACTCAACATTCCCCCTCCTGAATTCTCCCCTGGAATCACAGCCTTTTTTTTCACTTCTATTGCTTATGTTCCCAGGTTACCTTCTATTTTTTCTCTTAACCTTCTTTCTGTTTCTGCCTGCCAGAAATGTTCTTCAGCTTTCATCGTTTGCTTACACTCTGTGTTCAACAGTGCCTTTTTACACCGAGGCCCATCCTAGCCTTCTCCTCAACAGTAGAACCCTGTGATTCCTGCCTCTCTCCCTATTGGCAGGAAATTTAGTGACATGGTAAGTATGCGAACTCTGTTCCCCAAGTGTGAGATCCTACCTTGCTCCCCATGTCTTAAAAATGTCACTCCCATACCCTTCAATACAGCATGGCTCTGTTCCTCTTGGCACATGCATGCCCTTAAAACTATAGCTTGTGCCCTTAGTTCTAATTTCTAATACTGACTAGGCAGGAATACTGTGTTCCTGTACTAGAATGAAGGACACTTGAGAGAGAACACAGAATAATCTGGGAAATATCTGGGAAGATGTAAGTGGAAGCCAGTTATGTGTTAAAGAGCAATGGGATATACTACATCCTTTGCACTCTACCAGAATGATGTTAAGATATATAATGCCGATGAAGGAATTACCAAATAAGTGGGCAAATGAACATAAGCTGAAAAACCAGACTGTTGGTAAAAACCTCTGTTGATGTTTACTAAATGTAAGCTCTAGAAAATTGGGATGATTTTTGTGTATTTTTTTTTTTCTTTGAGATGGAGTCTCGCTTTGTCACCAGGCCGAATAGGTATGTGGGCACCTCTTTTCTGGGGCTCACTCCAGAGACAGAAACAAGCCTACAGTTAAAGTGCCTGTCTCTCAGAGTTATTGGCTAGCATTTGCTAAGCCCCTGGAGGTGACAGATAGCAAAGCAATGGTTTGAAAAGTGTGTACTTTGAGAGTGCAGGCATTTGCCCCAGCTATCCTTCCTGGCTCAGTGCTGAGCAAATGATGATAAATTCCAGCTCACAGCTTCTGCTTGAGGAGAGAAAGGATTGGACTACCTATCTAACATCCCAACTTTTCCAGCTGCTACATGAGGGACTGGCTCCTGTCTTGCCCGTTTTAGGATACTAATGGGACTTGGCATACTCTAGCCTTCTGGGGGCCACTAAGAACAAAGATGATGGTCTAGATGACCATGAAGATTTGAGGGGGACCCAGGCAGGATCTCTGGCTGGACTAACTGGTAAGTCTCTTTTATATTAGGCCAGTCTGTGAAGACTGAGAGAGGTGGTTGTTTAATGTGAAGAAACCAATACAGGATGAAGAAAAGTGAAGAAATATAAAAATGTGTTCTAAATAAAAGAAAAAGACAACTCTCCAGAGATTGACTGTAATGAAATGGAGATAAATGATTTACCACATATGAGAATTCAAAATAATGGTCATGAAGATGCTCACTGGGCTGGGTGCGGTGGCTCAGGCCTGTAATCAATCCTAGCATTTTGGGAGGCTGAGGTGGGCGGATCACCTAGGTCAGGAGTTCAAGATCAGCCTGATCAACATGGTGAAACCCCATCTCTGCTAAAAATACCAAAAAAATTAGCTGGGCATGGTGGCACACACCCATAATCTCAGCTGCTCGGGAGGCTGAGGCACGAGAATCGCTTGAACCTGGGAGGCAGAGCTTGCAGTGAGCTGAGATAGGGCCACTGCATTCCAGCCTGGGCAACAGAGTGAGACTCCGTCTCAAAAAAAAAAAAAAAAAAAAAAAAAGATGCTCACTAGGGTCAAAAGATAAATTCATGAACAAAATGAGAATTTCAACAAAGAGTTTAAAAAATTACATAGTAACAAACAGAAATCACAGTGTTAAGTATACAATAACTGAAGTAAAAATTCAATAGCGGGGTTCAACAGCAGACTAGACCAAGCAGAAGAAAAGGATCAGTGAACTTGAAGACAGGTCATTAAAAATCATACAATCAGAGGAGAAAAAAGAAAAATTGAAAAAGAGTCAACATAGCTTAAGGGACTTATGGGACACTGTCAAGCTGACCAACTGACAATACAATAGTAATAGATTTCAATACCCCACTTTGAATAATGGATAGAACATGTGGCATGTGGACAGAAAAATCAATAACCAGCTAACTTGAAAAGCACTATAGACCAAATAGACCTATGAAACATATTTAGAACTTTTCACTCAATAGCAGGAGAACATTTCAGAAGCACATATGGAACATTTTCCAGGATAGATCATATGTGAAGTAACAAAACAAGTCTTAACAAATTCAAAAAGACAAATCATACCACATGTCTTTTCCAAACAGAATGGAATGAAACTAGGAATTAACAGCAAGAACATGGTAAAATTCACAAACATGGCCGGGTGCGGTGGCTCACGCCTGTAATCCCAGCACTTTGGGAGGCCGAGGCGGGTGGATCACGAGGTCAAGAGATCGAGACCATCCTGGTCAACACGGTGAAACCCCGTCTCTACTAAAACTACAAAAAATTAGCTGGGCATGGTGGTGCGTGCCTGTAATCCCAGCGACTCAGGAGGCTGAGGCAGGAGAATTGCCTGAACCCAGGAGGCGGAGGTTGCGGTGAGCGGAGATCGCGCCATTGCACTCCAGCCTGGGTAACAAGAGTGAAACTCTGTCTCAAAAAAAAAAAAAAAAAAAAAAAAATTCACAAACATATAGAAACTAAATAACATAATCTTAAACAACTACTGGTTCAGTAGGAGACCAAAACAAAAATCTTCAGACAAATAAAAAAGAAAATACAACTTATCAAAACTTATCAGATATAGCAAAAGCAATCCTAACAGGGAAGTTTATAGTGACAAATGCCTACGTTAAAAAAGAAATCTCTCAAATAAATAACCCAGATTTCAAAAGACTGGAAAGAACAACAAACTAAATCCAAAGTTAGCAGAAGAAAGAAAATAATAAACTCCAGTACAGAAATAAATCAGAGACTAGAAAAAATAGAAAAATAATAAACAAAGAGTTTTTTTTAAACATAAACAAAAAATCCTTAGCTAGATAACTAAGGGAAAAAAGAGAGATTCATAAATAAAATAAAAAATGAAAGAGGGCATTACAACAGATACCTCAGAAACAGAAAAGATCAATTATTATGAACAATTATATGTCAACAAATTAAATAACCTAGAAGGAATGGATGAATTCCTAGAATAAACAGCTTACCAAGCCTGAATCAAGACTAGAAAGCCTAAACATTTTGATAACAAATAAGGAGACTGAAGTAATAATTTTTAAAAACCTCCTGTCATAGTCTGTTTTGTGTTGCTTTAACAAAATACTTGAGGGCAAGCAATTTATTTTAAGATGGTAAAAGAGGTTTATTTAGCTCAGTTTGGTAGGCTGCAAAGTCCATAATAAAGCATCCCATCTGGCAAGGGCCTTGTGCTGCTTCAACTCATGGTGGAAAGAAGAACAAAGGGGAAATGGGTGTACAAAGAGACAAAACACAAAAGGCAGCCTCACTTTATAATAACCTATTCTCATGATAACTAACTCAGTCCCAAGGGAATGAGATCTCACTCCAGTGAGACTGCATTAATCCCTTCATGATCCAAATACCTTTTAAAAGTCCCACCTATTAGCACCATTACATTGGCAATTAAATTTGAGTGTGAATTTTGGTGGGGACAAACCACATACAAACCATAGTACCTCCCAAAAAAGAGAAGCCCAAGACCAGATGGTTTCAGAGCTGAATTCTACCATATATTAAAAATAATAATAATACCAATCCTTCTTAAACCCTTCCAAAAAAAAAAAAAAAAATAGAAGTAGAGGTAATATCACTCTGATATCAAAGCTAGACAAAGACTCCACAGGAAAACTAGACTACAGGCCAATATCTCTGGGTGAACATAGATGCAAAAATCCTCAATAATATAATAGCAAACTGAATTTAACAACACATCAAAAGCATTATACACTGTGACGAAGTGGAATTTATCCCTGGGATACAAGGGTGGTTTAAAATACCCAAATCTATCAATGTGATATATCACATTAACAGAGTGAAAGATAAAAATCGCATAATCATAGATGCAGAAAAAGCATTTGACAAAGTTCAACATCCACTGATGATAAAAACTCTCAACAAAATAGGTACAGAAGAAAATTACCTCAACACAATGAAGGCCATTTATGAATATTCCACAACATCATAATCAATAGGGAAAAACTGAAAGCTTTTCCTCTAAGATCTGGTGCAATACATAGATTACCATTATCTCCATTTCCTTTTTTTTTTTTTGAGACGGAGTTTTGCTCGTTACCCAGGCTGGAGTGCAATGGCATGATCTTGGCTCACCACAACCTCCACCTCCTGGGTTCAAGCAATTCTTCTGCCTCAACCTCCTGAGTAGCTGGGACTACAGGCGTGTGCCACCACATCCAGCTAATTTTTGTATTTTTAGTAGAGACAGAGTTTCACCATGTTGACCAGGATAGTCTTGATCTCTTGACCTCGTGATCCACCCGCCTTGGCCTCCCAAAGTGCTGGGATTATAGGCGTGAGCCACCATGCCCAGCGTACCATTATCTCCATTTCTATTCAACATAGCACTGGAAGTACTAGCAAAAGCAATTAGACAAGAAAAAGAAATAAAAGGCATCTGAATTGAAAAAGAAGTAAAACTGTTTGCAGGTGGTATAATTCCATACGTAGAAAATTCTAAAAACTCCACCCAAAAAGCTATTAAAATTAATAAATAAATTCAATAAAGTTGTAGGATATAAAACAAACATACAAAAGTCAGTTGTGTTTCTTTACTCCAGCAACAATCTGTCTAAAAAGAAATTTTTAAAAATATCAACTATGATTGGTACACAAATTTAAATACTTAGGAATAAATTTAACCAAGGATGTAAAAGATTTATAAACTGAAAACTGTAAAACACTGATAAAAGAAACTGAAGATGAAAATTAAATGAAAAGATTTATAGATAGAAATAATTAATATTGTTAACATGTCTATAATACTCAAAGCAATATTCAGATTCAACACAATATCAAAATTTCAATATTTTCCACAGAAATAAAAACATTCTAAGATTTGTATAAAACCACAAAAGACCTTAAATAGCCAAAGCAATCTTGAGAAAGAAGAACAAAGTTGGAGGCATCATACTACCTGACTTCAAAATATACTATACAAAGCTATAGCAATCAAAACAGCATGGCACTGACATGAACAGACACATAGACTGATGGAACAAAATAGAGAGCCCAGAAATAAATCCTCACATTTACAGTCAACTGACACTTGACACGGGTCACAAGAATACACAGCGGGGAAAAGATGGCCTCTTCAATAAATGGTGCTGGGAAAACTGGGAACCCACATTTAAAATAATAAAACTAAACCCTTATCTTACACCTTATATAAAACTTAACTCGAAATAGGTTAAAGACTTAAACAGAAGACCTGAAATTGTAAAACTCCTAGAAGAAAACACAAGGGAAAACCTCCCTGACACTGGCCTTCGTAATGATTTCCTGGAAAGGACACCAAAAGCTCAAGAAACAAAAGCAAAAGTAAACAAGTGAGACTACATCAAACGAAAAATCTGCACAGAAAAGAAAACAATGGGCAAAATGAAAAGGCAACGATTGGCTGGGAGAAAATATTTGTAAACCATATATCTGATAAGGAGTTAATATCCAAAATATATAAGGTACTCATACAACTCAAAAGCAAGAAACCAAATCTGATTAAAAAAAAAAATAGGTAAAGAAACTGAACAGATATTTTCCCAAAGAAGACATAAAAATGGCCAAAAAATGCTCAACATCTCTAATCATTACAGAAATGCAAATCAAATCCACAATGAGACATCGCCTTACACCTGTAAGAATAACCATTTAAAAAATATAAAAAATAACAACTGTTGGCAATGTAGAGAAAAGGGAACTTCTTTTTTTTTAAATCCACTTGACACCCAATTCTGGGAGAAGGGAACCTTTTTATATTGTGGGTGGGAATGCAAATTAGTACTGCCTTTACGGAAAACAGTAGTTATGACCGTACCTCAGAAAATTACAAATAGAACCACCCTATGATCCAGCAGTCCCTTTTCTGGGTATATATCATGGAAGTAAAATATCTTGCACCTGCAAATCACTAAGCTAAAACGAACAGTCAAGCTGGAAACTGCTCAGGGCAGACCTGCCTCCCATTCTACTCAGTCTTCCCTCTGCTCACTGAGACAGATGCAAACTCTGATTGCCTTCTTTGGAAAGGTTTATCAGAAACTCAGAAGAATGCAACCATTTGTCTCTCACCTACCTGTAACCTGGCAGCCCCCTCCCTGCTTCGTCCTGCCTTTCTGGATAGAACCAATGTACTTCTTACATATATTGATTGATGTTCTCCTGTCTCTCCAAAATGTATAAAACTAAGCTGTGCCCCGTCCACCTTGGGCATTTGTAGTCAGAACT